CATGATTGGCTTGCTTCTGGGAAATGTGCCCGCCCCCGACTCATAACCATGGCAATGCAGAGGAGGGGAATTAACCTTTGTTTCCTGTTTTCATGCTACATCTGTGGGAAATGGTTTAATAAAGACAGAAGTCATTCACATGTACATGTGAAGCTGTACTAGGAAGAGAAACAGGCTGTGAGCAGTAGCCAAGGAGGCTTTTTTAAATGGTTAAAGAAAAAATAACTAAATAAATGTCTCAGTTCACTTCATCCTTGGCTATGCAGAGGGTAACAATTAGTGGGGAATCATCGGGATGGCGACCAGTGACAAGTGGGGTCCCCCAGGGCTCTGTTCTGGGGCCAATCCTGTTTAATCTTTTCATCAACGACATGGAAGAAGGGGTGAACAGTCTGCTGATCAAATTCACAGACAATACTAAAACTGGAGCAGTGGCCACAACTGAGGAGCAGGTACTCCAGATCCAAAAGGATCTGGACAGACTATGGAAGTGGGCAGGAGACAACAGGATGGCATCCAATGTGGATAATTGCAAGGTCTTGCACTTGGGGCATAGGAATAGCTGTCATAAGTACAGGTTAGGGGACAAGTGGCTGGAGAGCAGCATGAAAGGGAAAGGGACTTGTGAAAGGGACCTCGGGGTACTGGTTGACTGCAGTCTAAACATGAGTCAGCAGTGTGATGCGGTGGTCAAGAGGGCAAACGCCACCCTTGGTTGCATAGCCAGAAGTGAGGCTTCTAGATTGAGAGAGGTATTGCTGCCATTCTATACGATTCTGGTGCTCCTGCAACTGGAGTATTGTGCTCAGTCTTGGGCCCCTCATTACAGAAAGGATATAGCCAGGTTGGAGTCAGTGCAGCGCAGGGCCACAAGGTTGGTGGCCGGTTTTCAGGGGATGGGGCATGAGGCGAGACTGCGGGAACTGGGTCTCTTCAGCCTGGAGAAGAGGAGACTCAGAGGGGATATGTTGGTGACATACAGGTGTCACACCTGTTCTGCCCTGCAAGGAGCCAAGGTTCAATTTGGATGCCAGGAAGCACTTCTTGACAGTCAGGACCCCAAGGGTGTGGAATGGGCTTCCACGGGAGGTCGTTGAGGCCCCATCGGTGAGGGTGTTCAAAGATAGACTGGACATGCACATGGTAGGCAAGTCATGAGTGGAGCTGGCTGGAGCCGGGAGTCAGACTAGATGGCCCAGGAGGCCCCTTCTGACTCTCTCTGTTTCTATGTTTCCTAAAAGAAACATGAACCCCTCCTTCCACTGTGAAGACATGGTACATGAATAGACATGGTACATGATACAGGTGCTTTGCCAGACGAAAGGAAGGTAGAGGTAGTCTTATCACAGCAGAAATATAGAGGAGTTGTAGGCCCATGGGCAGCATGCAAGGAGCAGGCAGGAGGAGTGAGCTGGAAACAAGCCATGCCCAGCCATGCTGAGGCTTGATTGCCAATTGGTACCATCATGGGTTAGCAATCAATTAACCGACCCATGGTGGCTTGATCTCAGGGTGGTTTATTGAGACATACAAAGCAGCCTAATGAGAGCTGCAGAACTGTTCGTGGAAATGTAGACCATCCCAAATCTGTTACTCTTTGCACATTATAGGAATGTTTTTAGTGAAGTTCTGAGAATGTGTGGGAATTGTAGATGCCAATTTTCCTGCATCAGTGCATTAAGAGAGTTCAGGGAACTTGTCCATTACTAAATGCTTTGTGTGCTCTTGATAAAGCTTGTGCCATTTTAAAGAACTTATAAGCATGCTTCAGAATTGTATCCTGGGTCAATCTACCGATTTCTTTCAGACTTGGCATTTATAGAGTGTTCAAAGCCTTTCAATTATGTTATCTCCCTATGCTGTGCAACAATCCTAAGATGGTACCAAGTATTATCATCATGGTGCTGCAGATGAAGGGCTGAAAATGGGCAAACAACATCTTGAGGAAGGCCACTAAGTTCACAGCTGAGAGAAAATGTTGAACCAGGCACTTTAAGTGGCTCACACTTTTAGACACTGCAATACAGCGTTATAGTCGGCTATCTTTTTCCCCCAGCTAGGAACAGAAATACCTGAACTTGAAAATAGAACTTGGCATTTATCACTTTTAAAACTTATTTCTTGGTGTAAGCATGGATTTGTTTCAACAGGAATGAAAAATCAGAATAGGTTTCATTTGGTCAAAAATAAATATCACATGTACCGGGTATGAATGAAAACATATCCCATATCTCATTGGTGTCCATTCATTAGTCATTCCAAGATGGGGGCTTACACCTAACCTGGAGGCAGCAGCGCTGATTTGGATGACTGCTCCTAGTGACCCCTATTTTATTTGCCCAAAATAATCTCAATGTTGAATCATTCTAGAGCATTGCAGGGGAAACAGCAGCTGCCAATGGGACTGCAATCCCTTTTGTAGTGGTTCCCACTTGCTCCCGATATGTCCTGAAATGATGCGACATTTAGGGACGTTCTGGGAAGACAAAATCAGCTGTCGAAATCAGTTGTGCTGCTGCTGCTGCCCTAGAAGCAAATATAGACAGATGCACATATGGAAATAGATGTGAGCCCCTGTTCCTTGAACCAGCACAATGCTCTGCAGAGCACGTGATCCACCCGAGGGAGGCCCTGGGCAGCGATATGAGACTGAACCAGAGTCGAGCCCATCAATTCATTCCATGCCAAGGCTCATTCTGACTCATGTCTGAGTTGGTTTCTGAGCTTTAGGGGTGGGCAAGGTTGCACAGCAATGCATCAATGGGTATCTTTAAGGACATGTTCACATCAGTTGAGCGCACTTTTAGAATCTGTGCTTTTTTCTCCCTTCGACTAAAAACATGGTTTTCAAACATACAGATTTCTTTCATGCATATTTTTCAGGCACAAGTTTTTTCTTCTCTGAATATCATTGAATGCTTAGAAAGGCACTAAGTGCAGAACACAGATCTGCATTCAGTGCCAGGTGCTGAGAATTGGATAAGTTCTTGTCAAAACCAAGCTGAGATGAATTTCTCACCCATCCTCCCAACAGCACTGTTTGTAGTAGTAGCACTGGGAGTAGTAGTCCGAAAGCTGATTCTTCTGAGGAACCATTGAACAAGCTGTGAATGCATATCCTGGAGAAGACTCAGATGAGCTGGGATAGGTGTCTTCTAAGATTTGAAGGGTTGCCTCACTGAAATTGCAGCAGACTTATCCTCGCTTCCTCCCGAGCAGGGGTGGGGAATCTCTGGCCCGTCTGGCTCTTTTCAAACCCATCCCTTCTGATCTTCAGCCTGTCATTGTCTTTCTCCCTGATTTTCTCTTGTGCTTTCACTTGTTCTTGTTGTTGGGCTGGACCTTGGAAACAGGTCCCTTTCTCAGTGCTCTGTGAGGAGTTGCTTTTATTTCAGATCAGGTGACGATTTAAGAGCTTTTCCTGCAGGGGCCTGAGGTTGAAGCTACATATTCAGTGGTACTTGTGAGTAGGCATGAAGGGGACTGTCCTACTTACTTCAGAGTAGGCTAAAAATTGGCAGGACACATTCTGGCCTGCCCATTCTGCCACTGATCATTGGCACTTTGTTTGTCACCCCCCCCCACACACACACACACAGATGAAAGCATGCACACATGCTCTCCAAGACCTTCCCAAAACTGGAATGTGGCTTTTGGACTGAAAATTCTTTTCATGCCTGGTCAACAGGAAGATACTAGATCCAGTGGGTAGAAAGTGCGGTGAAGCAGCTGTCCAGCTAAATATTAGGTGAAGCATCTTCCAGGAAGAGATGCTTGACAGTAGAAGAGGATGTCTTTATTTTATATATTATATGAATCTGGAAATGATGGGCTATCCTTCACCACAGATAGTTAAATGAATGCTGTATAGCAACCTGTCAGAAATCCTAAAGTAACAAGATTCCAGCACTGTGCAAGGGGTTGGGCTCCAAGACCCTTTCCAATGCTAAATTCTACAATTTTGTCTCACAGTACTGGAATGGGGAAGCCAAGAACATTTGACCTTATATTTGTGATTATTTTCCATCTGATATTTTATTAATTGCTGCATATTTGTATAAATTTTCTGCTTAGGCACTGAAGTTCTGCATGTAAAGAATTTTATTTAGCATATGCCATACATTAAGTTAATTAAGAGAGGGAGCCCATTCTTTAAGCTAATTAAGTATGGGTTTTAAATGTGTCCTTTTGGATTTGGTATAAAAAGATCAACAATTCAGCCCTGCAGAAGCCTGCATACTAATGAACACAGACAAGAAACTGCTGCCAGTGTTTATTCATCAATATATAGTCTTGTATAGCATCATTTGGAATAACCTGATAAGCAAAGCACAAGGTCGACATATCTAAATTTTGAAGCCTAACAAATATTTCTTCTTCTGTACCATAATTATCATTCTAATTTGCACCACATGAAATATAACCAAGGAGAAAGGTTTTGTGTGTTCTCGCTGGGCTTTTTGTAAAGGAGATAAGGCTTACTCTAGCCGATTAAAAATCAAAGTGGGGGGTTATAAAAGGAAATACTCTCATCCTTAATTCATAACTAGGGTTTGTGGAACAACAAAATCATTTATATAGGTGTTTTTTCCAATATTTGAAAACCATTTTAGTTCTTCATTCAGTTGACAGGACATGGTGCTTTCATTAGCAGTCTCCATAGATTAAAACCACTCCCCAAAAGTAGTTTTCATTTTAATTAAGCTATCAAGTATTTAATCACAAACCCTGGTTATCATGATTTTACTAGAAATCAGAAAAAGTCCTGCTTTTCATTTGTCTTTTTTTTTATCATTTCTGCACTAGCAAGTGGGCCTCTATTCATGCTGTCCTATAAGTTTTCCTTTCTAAAATTGAAGTGCAGTATTCAAAATTCAGGCCCTGTGAAAAGCTGAGTAATTATCAAAATAGCTGAGTGTTACCTTAGCTTTTTCTGCATTTAAAGCAAGTTTGCTAAATGATAGGTCTTTCCCCACCCCCTTTTCTTTTGTCACTTACAGGATTTCGGAGATGATGATTCCCTCTACATCACCAAGGTAACAACTATTCACATGGGCAATTACACGTGTCATGCCTATGGCTATGAAGAACTGTATCAGACCCACATTCTTCAGGTGAATGGTTAGTAAATGGCACATGTGACAATTCGCTGTAATGTTCCTGTGAGCAATGCTGAATGTTAATATTTTTCCTAACAACCCACAAAACAAAACATACTGCATCTTTTCAGTGTTACTGGTGGAGTGGGGGTGTCTGTTTTTCTATTAATTTGCCCAATGTAGAAGTACACAGTGAGAAAGAAATTATGGATAGGGATCTAAACCACACAGATGTTTCAATAGATGCGTCCCTTCTTAGTTATGTTTGGAGCAGACCTATTGACAAAGCCAGCCCTCCTATGAGACCGAAGGATTCGCTAACTACCTCTTGCAGAGGATCCTAAGGGTTGGAAGTGGTAGGAATGTGTTGGAGGACAGAGCCAGGTGTGGCACATGGTTTGCCCTTTATTCCTCTGTTACCCTACTGCCCATGTGGAGAATACTGTCCTGTAGCCATTCAGCTGCCATTTTTATTTTTGATTTTTTGATACACTGTACAGAAAAAAAGAAAAGAACACCAAAAACATACAGTCACACAGCAATAGCCAGAGATGTATTAAACTGATCTTGAGACTATTACTAATAATATGTATACGGGTATGCACACTCATGCACATATATCTATCCGAAGTTCCTGTTCCACATCTCTAATACAGGTGGAGGTAGCTTGACCAAATGCCAGGATGCTGCGGAGAGGAAGGTGTCATTGGCAGTCTATTCTCTCACAGGGTGCCAGTGTAGTGATGTCTTCAGTCCACTGCATGGTGGAGGGAGATGGTTTGTCTTTCCAACCCTATAGTGGGCATCTTGCCCACTAGGAGGGCTCATATGATCCACTGGCAGAGGCAGAGGAAGGCTTCCAGGATGTGGGAATGTAATTCAGCAATACACTGGCTGCATTAAACAAGAAGGATAAATTCAGGTCAAAGTCAATATGTCAGAAAACTCCTATTCAGAAGGAGGCCACCTCTGGGCATTTCCATATCATGTGCACTAAGGCATCCCCAGAGTTTTGCCCACCAGGCAGTCAGTTTCCCTCTGCATCAGATTGTATGGCACACCCCTCACCTTGTTTACCTCAGCTGTTTCTCATCCCGCTTGCTGTCCCTTTGTGCATATGCCCTGATCTGCTCTAACCACTGGCCGTGGGCCTTTGGACTGGCAGGAGAGGACAGGAAGGACTCAGCTGGCAGGCAGGCAGGCAGACACACCCGGACACTGAGACACAAACACGCGCAGACACAAACACACACAGACACCCCCACACAGATGGGGGGGGGGAATTTTCCTTCTATGAAATGGAAATTCTGCTAAAGCAGACTTTTTGGTTTACATTCTTAATGCTCAGACACCAGCTCTGCCTTATACTCAGATACCTGGGCAAGCGACTTGTCTCTCAGCCCCATAGTGTGTCTGCTGTGAAACTGAGTATCCTCAGTCAAGCGACCATTTTGTGATTGGCATGCCTGCCATTTTTAATGCTCAAGGCACCCTCTCAGAGTTCCAGATGTGGCCACAGGCCCAGAAAAGCTGGGGAGCCATGCAGTGGGAAGTGCCCGGAGCTTCCTTTGACAGGTGCACTGAAAACAGAGAGTACTGGGGGGATTGTTGTTAGGTTGGTATTTCCTGTTTTGTTGCTTAACAAATTGACATTTTGTGGAACAAAAAAATTGTAAAGGACAAACTTTCTGGGAACAGGTTGTGTTGTCTGTTGAATCATGGCCACTCATTCAGGATTCACACTGCTGTGGATATCTTAATAGATTTATTAACAGGCAGGGCCCTAAACACAGGTCTGAAGCAAGTTTTTTTGTTTGTTTGTTTGTTTGTTTGCTTGTTTGGAAGCCAAGCAAAGAGAAGAAATAATCTGGAGGCAAGGCTGCACTAGAGAAAACAGTGCAATGCACTGGTTTGACTTAAGGCACTACGTACAGACTAGCCTTGTGTATGTGTTCATATCATGTATGAACTAGCTGTACACTTTTCCACAGAAAAAAAGCATGCCCTCCCACACATGCGTGCACACACACACACTGTTTTGTATGAGAACTGATGCTGAGGATGAGAGGAAGCATGACAACTTACTCTTCTGTATCTATTTTGACAGTGCCTTAGTGTACTTGGGTGTCAGTGTAGGTTGTTGTCATCCCTAAGAATTAGAGCCTGCAGGCTTTGAAACTACGAGCAAACTTCAAAGAAGATCATGTGGAGTGCAATACCGTAGACAGTAGATCAAACTCGGAGGTGTACTCCACCAGTCTTTTCAAATACAACAAGTTGGGAGGGAACGCACATTCTTTGCAGATGAAAGCACAGGCGAGTGCGGGAGATAGCAGGGCTGTGAGACTTCTTTTTATCAAAAGGAAACCTTCTCATTACAAATGTGCTTCCTTGTTTGCCTTGTAATATGCCTGAACAGCCACCAAATGCTAGCAAGCGCATGGACATGAATTTTGACAGCATGGCTCTGTAGTCTCTGGAACATCCTTGTCGCATACATTGGGGCGAATTCCCACGTTCCCTCTTGAGATTTTGCCCTAAAGTACCATGGTCACCACTAAACTTATCTTGGCATGTGATGCTGGGGTGGTGGATCAAAGGGTGATAGCCAAACAATCCACTGCGGTGTAGGAAAGCCAGGTCCTGTAGAACTGATCTGTGCATGGGACTCCTTCCCCTGCCAGCACTGCTCCTGCCAAGAAATCAAAACAAAGCTCAGCTGGAACTCCTCCAATGTCACCAGGTGTCCCCCCCCCCCGCTCCCCGGGAGGGCCCTAACATTGTCAGAATTGCATCAGAAAGACCCCCAAGCCATTGCTGAAAAGGATATTGAGATGTGTGGAAGAGGAACTAGAAGTGAAGTGCTGTAAATTTGGCATAGGATGCATTGAACCAGCACCGGTGGGGAAGAAGTAAAACCAGTGGCTTTTCAACGAACTGAGCTACCTTTGGTCTCATTTCTGTTAAGGAGAGGGAATGAACCCAGTGCAATGTATCCTCTGTGCATGAATATATATCGGGGCGATGAAGAATAGTGGGTGTGCTGGTAGCATGCTTCCCCCTCATATGTGCTCCTACCACATTGAGGTCTCTATTTTATGCATCAAGTTTTGTGCAAAAAGAGGCCATTTATCATTTCTAACAGAAAGCTCTTTCAGGGATAAAGAGTCTCATAAAACAGTAATCTGCTATGAAAATGGATAGTTTGCAAACTAAAGACCCTTTAGTGTAGGGAATCATTTTCCTTGGTTGCTGCACTGCAGAATAGGTTGGCATAAATCATCATAACGTCTTCCATGGAAATGGCTACCAAAGGCAGTTGGCTCCTCAGTCTAATTTCAGAGATCCTCCAGGAGAGTTTCCTAGTAAGAGACCCAATTTGAACATTGTAATATATGACTACCTGGTATTTAGAAGTAAGGCAGGAAGGCAGCAAACTCCTACAATTTTTATCACAAAAATTCACAATGTCACAAGCAAATCATCTGCCTATCAAGGTAAATAATTGAATGCTGTGGCTTAGGGCTTCACAGCTGAATATCTCATTTTTGTGTTATGGCTGTGCTGGAGAGCCACCGTTACAGGCCATGTCATCTGTTAGAGCTTGCTTTATTTTGCTCTTTCTTCTCCTGGCACGCTCAGTATATTAGCATACCAGGATCCCATGAGTATTCATGCTTGTGCAGCCACATGAACAGCACAGGAACCACTAGCTCTGTGGAAGTACAAAATAGGTTTATGGAGAAAAACCTCTGAGAAAGGGAAAGCTTCAAAAAGAGCCCAGGGAGAACTGAGCATGCCCAGTGCTCACAGAATGCTGACAGCTGAACTGGGAGCCCAGCAAAGCATGTGTGTGGGATGGGGGAGGCATTTTCATTCATTCATTCATTCATTCAAATTAGGGGACCTAATTCATTCATTCAACCACTCTCCTAACAGAGTGGTTGGAAACTTGAACAGGGAGCGCTCTGCACTGCAAACACGCACACCAGGGAAACACTACAACATGTTGCTGTTGAGCTCTACTTGTATTTATTTATTTAGGAGACTTCTATGCTGCCCCATTCGCAGAAGCTTCGGGGCGGCTCACATCTTACGTAATCCTTTCCCAGACAATAATTTACATATCTTGTGTATTGTGGGCTTTTGAACACAGCTCCACATGTGCTACCTTTAAAAATTGCCAGCTATCAGAAAAATGCAAGGCAGATGTGTGTCGCAAGGATGCTCTTCGTGCACAGTGAAGGCAGGCACAGCATTCCAGGAGCTGTAACTGGCTTTTTGTTCATGGAATGAGTATTCAGCTTTCAGTATTTCAACTCACATTACAGATATATATGCACACCTATGAACTGGCTGCTAGATTGAGAAGTCTGGCTTTCCATTCTTCTTTTCCATTATCGTTTTGTGGACTCGTTCTGCTCAGTGTGACACTTTTCCTTTCTGCATCTCTAAAACTGATATTCGAATTGGAGCAGGTGTTTTTTGTGGCGGTTTTCAGTTCTTCCATTTTGTAGGGATCTCTCTTCATTCAGCTTCTATGCTATTAATGCACATGAGCAGATTGATAAACTGTTTTGAAGAAGTGGTCTAATTATAACCGCATCACATTTCTCATTGGGTAGGTTCACACAACATGATAAGCCATGGTGGTTTCTTGGGCAGGATGGTCTGCCATGCTGTCCAAACCCTGCCATGGTATTTCAATGGTCTGTTCTATGGTTGTACACTTCAGCATAGTTTCTTTGGTCATCTGAACTCATGGCTTTCACCGTGGCACCACAGAGTCCTCTGGGAAGAGCAGTTCTTCCAGACATCCAGCATGGGATTAATTTCCAGTGTGATGGCTGATGGGATACATACCATCAACAGAGGGACTAAGAAAGGAGGGTAAAAACCATGTTAGTGCAGAAACCACTTAATTATATGCCAGGAACATCTAGGCCTGTTGTTGTTGTTGTTGATGATGATGATGATGATGATGATGCACCATGGAAACCATGCAGGGTTGTTTGTCATGAA